AATGAATAACAATAAATCTGAGGAAATTTCTCAAGTATGGTGGATCAGGATTGACAAATTTCTATCAGTTCTATATCACATAATATATCTGAGCATTGTGCTCGATATACCTTCCATTGGTTTATAAATTCATGAATTTCTCGAAAGTGGAATAAATGGGCCTTAGAGATCACAGCGGCTTATAAACACTGCTCAGTCATAAGGATAACAATATGTCCGGTGAATATGATGCCCAAAGTTAGTGATGAGCCAGTTATAAAAGAAATATATTGGCAATAAAAGGGATAAAGTAGACAATTAAAGATGCTAGATGTGTCCAGTTACGATCGGGGCAACTTAATGAGCATATGATGCATGACAATGATTTAATGAAGAAAGAGACATAAGAAAACGAAAAGAAATATCACCATTATTGTTTGATAGATAATTTTATGAAAATAACATTACGATAAGTGAGACTAACTCGAGTGGTTGAGAAGAGCGGCAATAGCGGCCATGGCATGCTGGCGAACTGGCCTATTTTTCGTATTATCCAGGGCACGGCGAAGACGAGTGGCCAAGTCACGTACACCAACTTGCTCGTCTAATGGGGGAGGCGAAGATAACCGACTCAATAAATCGGTGGTCTGTCTTGGGGACACTCTAAAAATGGAGAAGCGAGAGGAGATTGAATTCGGGTATTGCCATTCACTAAACTGGCATTATCAGTAATCAAGCGAAACGTAGACCTGTCAAGGATAAAGTGTAACCCCAAATCGACATCCAGATAGATCCTGACTATCGATGGCCAGCGTAATTTTGTCTCTTAAAATCGTTAAAATCTACTGACTGCCAGTTTAATCATGAGATTAGTCGTTAATAATAGCTCCATCCGATTACATAAAATCAAGAGATGGAAGGTCAACCTCGTCACAAAAATGGCGGCGTTCCCACGAACAGTTTTTGCGCAGACGGTATCCCAAGGCAAAAGTAAATTACAGCCAACAATCACTTCTTTCAGTCTCCTAGCCAAATAATAGTTAAGATCGGCGAATGTTGTTAGATTGTTTTTCAAAATAATATTTATATTATCGTTATCGAGAGCTATCGTTTCATGGTGTTATCTTACTCCTCATCTGATTGTCTATAAATACCTAGATTATTACAAAGGAGAGTTAATTTGATATCAGGAGTATTTGGTGTATTGTATCGTGAGCAAAATGTCGGGCGCGTAAATTAATTTTTCATTGAGTAAAAAATATATAAAGGCCCAATCAGTATTTTAACGTGAGATTAGAATCAACTAAATTAGATCAGTGCAAACAAAGACATTTAGATAATGAGTTAGATTTAAATGATAAGGGATAATAAGAATTACTTGGTCAAGATAGCTATCACGCTGGCCAGAGCAGAGGCTTGTACACGCCATCCACCCTGAGTGATGACGAAATTGAGTAGGAACATAGTTTCTGGAAGACGGTTAACTAAATAGCAAAGATAGAACAGCAATTAAGGTTTATCACAAAATGCAAATAAATACAATAAATATTAATCCGGTTTCACACAATAAAGTTGCTGTATACAGAAATTATATAGCTTCAGTATGAGTAGTTAATTAGTAAAATGGACGACACGCACGCTTGTGTTTGGGCAGAACCACTGGCAATAAAAGCACAAAATTATCTGCAGATGCAATGAGAAATGCATACCGTGCTCAATGGTTGGGTGGATCGGCCACAGCACACCGATAGTATGGATAGCCATCTCAAGCTCCAGTTCGGTCAACTCAGTGGACAGCTAGCAAAAGGGAAGGAAGCTTTGATAAATAAAATGCATACAATTTTGATTTAAAATATTGACTATAATTATGAAAAAAACCTTAAATCATCCGTGTCAGAATCATTATTCAAGGAAGTGAAGAATAAGCTGTTTGGAACTTATTAAAAAAATCAATTTATAAATAAAAATTGAATTCAGTTTCACAAAACTTGGGAGAAAATGATATTGGTAAGGCACCTGGGTCAATAGCACAAAATCTTGGCACACCCCAAGGAATTAAGAAATTGGAATGAATACAGTAAAACCATTAAATGAGAAAACGGCTTTGTCCTTCATCAATGACGACGCCGACTACAAAACAGGATAGGTATGTATCAATTCAATTTTCGGATGACAGATGTTGAGGTGTTTCGTAGTGGGATTATTAATCAATCTATTTCTCCAGCTTAGTTACTATTTGGGATATAATCACAATCGAGTAGCAAGCCTATTACCGAACCTGCGTCAACCATCGAGTGGTATACAATTTTGAGGAAAAGTTAAATAACCTCAGAGAGATTCAGTAAAGCTATTAGTTGAAGGCGAGAGTTTCGGCAATTTCACTAATGGCCGAGATTAATTTGATTCTTTTATTCAGTTGGTTCACTTAAATGTCTTTTGAAAAACAAGAAGAGATTTTAATAGAGATGGCCACCTGAGGTCACTGTAGGCAATGCGAGGCCCCATAATTAAATTGCTTGCAAGTGAATGAGTATATGACCTCATTGTGTCGTTATATTTCAATTGGATTTGTCGCCCGAATTGAAAAAATCTCATCAGTACTCTCAATGGGGTTTGATACGGTGTAGCAATAAGATACGAGCAAATGCTTGTATAGAATCACAGGAAGCAAGTCTCCCAATCATAGGGGAAATGTGTAATAAGATAGAACATTACATGCCATAAAACCCGAAGATATCACCAATTGTAGAATGAGTAAGTTGAAAAATATCGATAGGTTTGCATGACTATCTCTTTTTAAGGTCATACCTAAGACGCTTTAAGAACCCATGTCTGAAAACATTAGAGTAGGAATATTAAGAAATATTTATTTATGTAGGGAACCCAGTTTTGAAGTCTAGCGCATAATGTTATTATCTGAATATCGTGATTCATTCAGTCATTGTAGTGTATATGAGCTATGCGTATATTGCAATCGTTTAGCCATGTAAATATTCCTCATATGATGGAGGATAGCTCGTATTAGCAGGAGCCCTGGGGTAATAGAACACCAGGACTCATTTATCGGTAAATCCACTTCTTATTCATCAAGCAGGTTGTGTTCGAAGTAAATTATCAAATATAATCAAGAATCCGAATTAATTAATATATAATTTTCTAAATTTTTCAATTTAAAGACATTAGTAGTGTCAGCTTCATGAACATTTGTGCTATGTGCAAGACCACTGTCAATAATTTAGGTGAAAGTGTTGCTAAGAGATAATCCTGGATGACTCCAAAACAACGCAAGGGGCTTTCACTGAACTTGACCTTTTACAATATTCCATAAAGCTAAACAGATTTTCTCAGCATCCAATAATGTATTGTTACTCGGTTAATTAAAGAGTGATATCATTTCTATGAAGATCTGGAGGTAACATGTATTTAAATTATTCGGGGTACTTGCATTGGATCAATGACCATAGTGTAAATAAATCACGAGCCAGAGGAAGGGTCGACCGCTTGCATGGTCCGCTTCTCTTCACGATTACTGTAAAATATCCTCTAGTTATAGATAATGACAAAAGAGCTGTTCTAAACCAAATAAGCAACCTAATTACTAATCGCCACAGCCTACATACTTTGATTGAATAAATAAATGAAAACCAAAATAAAATTTTAAAATGTCGTGAGCAATCCCTGCAAAGCTACATCTCAAGAGGGATTTACAACTATATTAGTTTATCGAAGCTATGAAGACCAAGATTGTGACCTTTTGTGTGGTCGCAGTCTCCTTTCGTTGTGTAGAGGTTGTTTGACCTTATTTTTGCAACTTGCTTATAGTAGGAAGACCTAGAGGAACACACCTAGTCCGGAGTCCATTGTATGCATGATAATTTCCAAAGTCGGACTGTGGATGTGGTACATTGCCAGACGTTTAGTTAGAATCGTCAGTGAGTCGAGCCATTCTTAGCACCAGACAACAACTCGTCAGGGACAAGTGAAGCCGATCCTTTGACCAAACGTGTTCTAAACATTTGTGGTATCTACTCTTCTGCCCTGGGCTATTTACATTTCATATAACCTATCACGCATTCGCTGTTACAATTTTTATCGTGCTTATTTAGATATATTGTGGTGTGCTCTTTTGAGCGGCCTCCACACTCCACGCTGGCCTTCTCCCATCTCCTTCATCCTTGTGCTGGGAATGCTGATCAGAGTCTGTCATATTGGTACGCAGTCCCTCTCCCTCTTGCCCCGTAAGATCTGTCTGCTATATCCCTGGTTCACGTATTTAACTCGACCCATGCCACCTAATCTGTGCTACTCAAGGCGTTATTACCCCTCCCCTGCATTTGGATGACTAATTCAAAACCAAGGCCTCTGAGTAAGTCTCATGGTCACCCCTTTGCTAGATGGACTACGTCTCTGGTAAAACTAGCTCCAATTAGCCAACTAGCTCCAGTCTCGGCCGCGTCTATCCTTTTTCTATCTCTAATACCAAGTCTATGATTTGCCATGCCCTAGTCTCTTGTGTGTCAACCCGCAAACGTTGTGGTTCAATATTGAACCTAATCAAAGCAAGCAGTACCACAGCATTTGTGGGTTGAAACACAAAAGACTAGTGCACAGGAAGTCATAGACTTGGTATTACGGAGATAAACAGAATAAGACGCAGTGGAGACTAGATTTAGTTGGCTGACAATAGGCCTTTTTTACCATAGACGTAGTCCATATAACACAGGTTCTACGATGAGACTTACTCGGAGGCCTTAGGCTCGAATTAATCACCAAGACGCAGGGGAGGGCGAATAACGCCTCGAGTAGCATAGATGGGGTGGCAGGGGTCGAGTGAAATACTTAAACCAGGAAGATAGCGGATGGATCTTACGGAGCAAGAGGGAGACTCTGATAAGACCTATAGAAGGAATGCGTAACTCTGTTAAACATTCCTAGCACAAGGGTGAACGGGGGATGAGAATGCCAGGGGAAACACTACATAACATCTAAATAAGCACGGTAGAAAAGTGTCACAGTGAAGGCGTGATACGAGGATATAGGAAATGTGAATAGCCCAGGATAGGAGAGATACCACAACTGTTTAGCCCACGTTTGATCAAATGATCGGCTTCATTCGTCTCTGACGAATTGTAGTGTGGTGGTAATGGCCAGACTCACTGACGATGTCAGCTAAACGTCTGGGAATGTACCACGTCCATGGTCCGACTTTGGAAATTATTACGCAGAAAATGGTCTCAGGACTAGGTGCGTTCCTGTAGGTATTCCTATAAATATGACCAAGTTGCGAAAACAAAGTCAAACAATCTCTATATTAGAAGGTATGAAGACCAAGATGGTGTGGCCTTTTGTGTGGTCGCAGTCTTCCTTCGTTATATAGAAGTTGTTTGACCTTGTTTTGCAACTTGGTCATATTGGTAGGAAGACTTAGAGGAACGCACCTATTCTGGAGTTCATTGTATGCATCATCATTTCCAGGGTACCGCGTCCACGGCCCTACTCTGTAAATAATGATGCATACAATGGACTCCGGACTAGGTGCGTTCCTCTAAGTCTTCCTACCAATATGACCGAG